GGGTTGTTATGGCCACTGGTCCTATCGAAGCATTCATGGCCAAAGAATTTGGCAAGTTTAATTTCATTACTTATAAGCAGTAAAATGATGAGCAAAAACTCTGGCAGAAGGTGATTAGGAACCTCTTTTCTCTTCCATTTCTTTGGTTCAAACTGGCAGGTGAACCGAGTACTGAGTACTTTAGCTATCCTTTCTCCTTTTGCTCGAGTCTGTGCGAATTTTTTCCACCGTTGTCGATTTCCAGAGGCCTATTGTAAGCAGTATATTTTCTACCTCGCCTAGAGTTATAAGTGATTTTGACTAGCATGAGACGATGATTTTGAATTATCAAAACAGACGATTTAGAAATGATGGACAAATTCTATCCCAGTTTTGCTTTTCTGCAGCCAGTTTTGTCCTTCTACAGTTGTTTTCATTTCGTGATGCGTCCTTTGGCCCTTGCCAAATGCACGGTGTTCCAGGACGTTGTTTGAAAACAAATTCATTCTGCAGCACTTTGTGCGCCCAGCGAAATTGATGCATTTTGCTAGATTTTAGGAAAATCATCTTCAAAAGGTCGTAAAATAGTAACGATGCTGAAATCACTGGTCGAACCAATGTCATATGATTTTACGCTGAGTGACGAAGATCGGGCACTGGCAGCAACAATTGATGCAGCTGAGGTAATTCTTAAGTTCAATCACTTGTTGCAATGATAAATAAATTCAAAACACAGGCACAGTAAGTGGTAGAAGAAGGCGCAGAGCTTTCGGGTCGGATTGGGTGCCCTCGGATTTGTATTATTTTCTCATTTCCTTTCCCCTCTATTTTTCTCATCATTTTTCTAACTGCATTTTTGTTTGAGTTCAGTCTTCAATTCATTTTTTTTTTTTTTTGAGTATCACTGCTTAAATTGGACTGTATTTTTCTTGCAAATTTCTTTCACTGTAGGAATTTTATCTTGAATTTTGCATCTTTATGCGAAGCTATGCTTCCTCTCTCACTCTCTACCTCTCTTTTTTCCCAATTAAATTTAAATTTTTAAATTTAAGTCTTCAGGCCCTAGAAAAGCGTGACAGTATGATCAACAAAGCAGGCGAGGCTGCTGGTCAGGTAATTGAGAAGATGCAGAGCGTTGCTGTGCCAGCATGGAATAAAATGAGATCGAAAGTAAGGAATTATTGAACTGTGTCCAAAAAAATTTATAAAACAAAAATATGCAGTTGTAAGGTATCGCATAATCAGTTAACACCAATTTATGTACCACTTTTTGTTAATCATTTGCA